TTTTTCCATATAAAGTTGATTATTGTCCTCTCAAGATCTGTGAAGAATTTTGATGGGACCTTGATGGGGATTGCATTGAATCTATAAATTGCCTTTGGTAGAATTGCCATTTTTACTATGTTGATCCTCCCAATCCAAGAGCAAGGAGATCTTTCCACTTTCTGGTATCCTCTTCAATTTCTTTCTTCAATGCCTTAAAGTTCTTGTCAAATAGATCTTTCACTTCCTTGGTTAGAGTTACCCCAAGATATTTTGTGCTGTTCGTGGCTATCGTGAAAGGTGAAGCTTCTCTAATTTCCCTCTCTGCTTCCCTATCCTTTGTGTATAAGAGGGCGACTGATTTTTTGGAGTTGATCTTGTATCCTGCCACATTACTAAAGGTGTTTATCAGCTGTAAAAGTTCTTTGGTGGAGTTTTGGGGGTCGCTTATGTAGACTATCATATCATCTGCAAATAACGATAGTTTCACTTCTTCCTTTCCAATTCGAATCCCCTTGATCCCATTATGTTGTCTTATTGCTATTGCTAGAACTTCAAGCACTATATTGAAGAGGTATGGTGAGAGTGGACAGCCTTGTCGTGTTCCTGAGTTTAGTGGGATGGCTTTGAGTTTCTCTCCATTTAATTTAATGTTAGCTGTCGGCTTGCTATATATAGCTTTTATTATATGTAGGTATGACCCTTGTATCCCTAATCTCTCCAATACTTTTATCATAAAGGGATGTTGAATTTTGTCAAATGCTTTTTCAGCATCTAATGAAATGATCATATGGTTTTTTCTTTCAGTTTATTTATATGATGGATTACATTGATATATTTTCATATGTTGAACCAGCCCTGCATCTCTGGGATGAAGCCTACTTGATCATAATGGATAATTTTCCTAATGTGTTTTTGGATACGGTTTGCCAGTATTTTGTTGAGGATTTTTGTGTCGATATTCATGAGTGAGATTGGCCTGAAATTCTCTTTCTTGGTTGAGTCTTTGTGTGGTTTTGTTATCAGAGTGACTGTAGCTTCATAAAAGGAATTTGGCAATGACCCTTCTGTTTATATATTGTGAAATACATTAAGGAGTATAGGTATTAGGACTTCTTGGAAGTTCTGATAAAATTCCGCATTGAAACCATCTGGTACTGGGCTTTTTTTGGTAGGGTGGTTTTTGATAATGGTTTCTAATTCTTCGCGCCTAACAGGTCTGTTTAGATTGTTCACCTGGTCCTGGTTTAACTTTGGTATATGGTATTTATCTAAAAAAGTGTCCATTTCTTTTACATTTTCCAGTTTTGTGGCATACAGGCTTTTGTAGTAAGATCTAACGATTCTCTGAATTTCCTCTGTGTCTGTGGTTATGTCCCCCTTTTCATTTCTGATCCTATTAATTTGCATATTCTCTCTCTGCCATTTGATTAGTTTGGATAGGGGTTTATCAATCTTGTTGATTTTCTCCAGGAACTAGCTTTTTGTTTCATTGATTCTTTGGATTGTTTTCTGTGTTTATATTTTGTTGATTTCAGCCCTCAGTTTGATTATTTCCAGTCTTCTACTCCTCCTAGGTGAGTCTGCTTCTTTTTTTTCTAGAGCTTTCAGGTGGGCTGTTAAGTCTCCAATGTGTGCTTTTTCTGTTTTCTTTACGAGGGCACTTAGTGCTATGAACTTTCCTCTCAGGACTGCTTTCATAGTGTCCCATAAGTTTGAGTATGTTGTTTCTTTATTTTCATTGAATTCGAGGAAGACTTTAATTTCTTTCTTTCTTTCTTCCTTGATCCGGGTGTGGTTCAGTAGTTGACAGTTCAGTTTCCATGAGTTTGTAGGCTTCCTGGGGGTAGCATTGTAGTTGAATTCTAACTTTAATCCATGGTGATCTGATAAGACACAGGAGGTTACAAATATTTTTTTTTGTAACTGTGGAAGTTTGCTTTGTTACCAAGTATGTGGTCATTTTTCGAGAAGGTTCCATGTGCTGTAGAGATGAAGGTATATTCTTTCCTATTTGGGTGGAATTTTCTATAGATGTCTGTTAAGTTCATTTGATTCATTACCTCCATTAATTCTCTTATTTCTCTGTTAGGTTTCTGTCTGATTGACCTGTCCATTGGTGAGAGAGGAGTGTTGAAGTCTCCTATTATTAGTGTGTGTGGTTTGATGGCAGCCTTGAGTTTTAGTAATGTTTCTTTTATGTACGTGGGTGCTTTTATATTAGCGGCATAGATATTCAGGATTGAGACTTCATCCTGATGAATTGTTCCTGTTATGAGTATAAAATGTCCCTCTCCATCTCTTCTGATTGATTTAAGTTTGAAGTTAACTTTGTTAGAAATTAGTATGGCCACACCTGCTTGTTTCTTAGGTCCATTTGCTTGATAAACTTTTTCCCATCCCTTTACTCTGAGTAGGTGCCTGTCTTTGTGGTTAAGGTGTGTTTCTTGTAAACAGCAGAATGTTGGATCCTGTTTTTGTATCCAATCTCTTAGCCTGTGCCTTTTTATAGGTGAGTGGAGCCCATTGACATTAAGTGATTTTAATGACCAGTGGTTGTTAACTCCGGTCACTTTTTTAGTAGTAGAGTTTGTGTGTTTCCTTTCTTTGTGTTGTGCTGGTGAAGGGTCTCTAGATGTCTGAGTTATTGTGGTTATTGTTGGACTCCTTGGTTAGTGATTTTCCTTCTATTACTTTCTGTAAGGCTGGATTTGTGGTTACGTATTGTTTAAATTTGTTTTTATCCTGGAAAATTTTGTTTTCTTCATTTATAGTGAACGAAAGCTTGGCTGGGTATGGTAGTCTGGGCTTGCATCCATGGTCTCTTAGTTTCTGCAGTACATCTATCCAGGACCTTCTGGCTTTCATTGTTTCCATAGAGAAATCATGTGTAAGTCTGATAGGTTTACCTTTATAAGTAACTTGGCCTTTTTCCTTTGCAGCTCTTAATATTCTTTCTTTATTCTGTATGTTTTGTGTTTTGATTATTATATGGTGAGGAGATTTTTTTTTGGTCCAGTCTATTCGGTGTTCTGTATGCTTCTTGAACCTTTAAAGGAATATCCTTCTTTAGGTTGGGAAAGTTTTCTTCTATAATTTTATTAAATATATTTTCTGGACCGTTGAGCTGTACTTCTCCTTTTTCTATCCCAAGTATTCTTAAGTTTGGTCTTTTTATTGTGTCTCAGATTTCCTGAATGTTTTGTGATGAGAATTTTTTGGCTTTGCTGTTTTCTTTGATCAATGTGTTTATTTTCTCTACGGTATCTTCAGTGTCTGAAATTCTTTCTTCTATCTCTTGTAATCTGTTGGTAGTACTTGTCTCTGTATTTCCTGTTCATTTACCCAGGTTTTCCATCTTGATCCTTCCCTCGGTTTGTGTTTTCTTCATTACTTCCATTTCATTCTTCATGTCTTCAACCGCTTCCCTTACCTGTTTGATTGCTTTTTCTTGTTTCTCTTGGTTTTCTTGGGTATCTTTGAGCGATTTATTCATTTCCTCTACCTTTTTGTTTGTGATCTCTAATTGTTTATGACAGTTTTTCACCTCCTGTTTAAAGTCTTCTATTATTTTCATATAATTCACTTTTGAGTCAATTTCTTCTAATTCTTCTAGAGTAGGGTTTACAATTGTTCTTATTTTGGGATCCCTGGATTCTGGTGATGTCATGTTGCCTTTCAGGTTGTTGGAGGAATTCTTGCCTTGGCGCCTTCCTATCTCTTCCTTCAAATGGAGCCAGGAGAGGCCTGGTGTCTTGGTCCAGTCTTTGCTGTGACTGACTCTCTGGGTGTAACTCTTCAGGAACCATCCGGTCCAGATGGAACTCCTCAGCACCGAAACATAGACGCCTGGTAGTCCAATGACCCGCAGACAAAAGGGAGAACTTGGGGGGCAGGGTGGGGACGAGTAGAACACAGGACACCCTGCCGCAAAAGCTTAAGGTGTGCGTGCTCCCTTTCGGGGGGGGGGGGGTGTCCTTGAGGCCTGCCCGGTAGGCAGACACTCACCTCTCTGGGTGGGTAGCCTTAGTGTAGGAGCAGAAAACTGTTCCTGAGCAAAGGACCTAGCAGAAAATGCAGGCTTGTGGGGGCGTGGTCGTGTGTAAGAAAGACAGCCCTGCAGAAAGAGCTGGGGGAGGGGGGTTTGTGCTCTCTTCCGGGGACAATCCGCCCCTGGATAGCGCACACTCACCCGTCCAGATGGAACTCCTCAGTACCTAAACAGGGCCACCTGGTAGCCCGATGATCCGGGGACAAAAAGAAAAACTGGGCAGGTGGGGCGAGATCCATGAGAGCACAGGCACCCCTGGAGCACAAGCTGAAGGTACCTGGGCTCCCTTTCGGGGGGGGGGGGGTCCTTGAGGCCTGCCCGGTAGGAAGGCACTCACCGCTCTGGGTGGGTCATCTTAGTGTAGGAGCAGAAAACTATTCTTGAGCACTGGTTCTAGCATACAGCAGGGCAGGGTTGGGGGGGGGGGTGCTGGGGGTCTGGGTTGTGCATAAGAAAGACAGCCCTGCAGAAGGAGCTGGGGGAAGGGGGTTTGTGCTCTCTTCCAGGACAGTCTGCCCCTGGATAGCACACACTCACCCGTCCAGATAGAACTCCTCAGTACCTAAACAGGGCCGCCTCTGCCTTCCCTTCTGAACGCTGAGATTAAAGGGATGTGTAACACTGCCTGGCTACTTTTGCAATTCTTTTTTTTTAAAATATTTATTTATTTATTATGTATACAATATTCTGTCTGTGTGTATGTCTGCAGGCCAGAAGAGGGCACTAGACCTCATTCCAGATGGTTGTGAGCCACCATGTGGTTGCCAGGAATTGAACTCAGGACCTTTGGAAGAGCAGGCAATGCTCTTAACCACTGAGCCATCCCCTCAGCCCCCTACTTTTGCAATTCTTAAGAAATTTAAAAACCAACTTCAAAAAATTGATGTATTTATATGACTGATTTCCTGGCCAACAATCATGACCTATTTCTCCATTTATCTTGTTGATTCTTATTATTCTTGTTACTTACCTCCAGAGAGCTTGTCCAGCATACATGAGATTTCTTCATAGATCCTCAGGACATTGTTCCAGGAACGACCTGGGATGCAGCACACGCTGTTAGGACCAGAACATCCACTCCTTGGGGGCTTGAACTGAGGACACTTTGATGATAAGATTCAGATGGGCAGCAGATGAGAGGCAAAATGCTTAACCAGGCAGGAATAGGGACCAGATATACTCAAACAAGCAAGCACTGGAAGTCTCGGCAGCGTTCCAAGATGTATGGAGGTCGAAAAAGAAGCTGTGAGAACATTCGGGATGTACAGTCAAACCTAAAAGAAGCAAAACATGTCTGGCCCTCCAAAGACTAAAACATGCATCCGAGAGATGAAAGCGTAAGGCTATGGGAGATTACAGCCTTTACTCCTAGGCTGAGAAAATACCTGAGCAAGTATTATGTCCAGATGCACTACCTAAAAGTAAAACTCTGTTGGCTCCATACTGGGGTCAAACTCAAGGTCTGTGTATGCTGGTTGAGTTCCCCATCACCATGCTATGCTTCCAGCCCTAGACAGTGAGTTTCTTGTAATATACCTCTCTCTCTCTTTCCCATAGAAGTGTCTAGAATGCAGCTCAAAGTCGCCCTTCTGGCTTATTATATCTGTTACACTCGGATTGACTGCCACCAAATACTCAGGTGTCTATAGTAATAAAATTAATGTCATAGTCAAGATATTAATATTGTAAGCCTAATAGAAATATCTATTTTATTTGTTTTGCTGTGAATTGATGGAGGAAGGTCATTGGTTAATTAAATAATGAAACTGCTTGCCCTCATAGGTTAGAACATAGGTGGGAGGAGTAAACAGAACAGAATGCTGGGAGGAAGAGGAAGTGAGCTCAGAGACGCCATGCTCCCCTCTCCCGGGCAGACGCGATAGCTCTGCTCTCTGAGGCAGACGCATGAAGCTCAGACCCAGGATGGACGTAGGATAGAATCTTTTCCGGTAAGACTGATGCTACACAGATTATTAGAGATGGGTTGATCGGGATATGAGAATTAGCCTGTAAGGGCTAGAGTTAATGGGTCAATCAGTGTTTAAAAGAATACAGTGTCTGTGTAATTATTTTGAGGCATAAGCTAGCAGGAGGCCGAGGTGCTGGGGACGCAGCCCCGCTGCTCCTACCACTACAGTGAATTTAGTTTTGATTACCTTATTTTCCATCTCTTTGTTGTTTTGTTTCCTGTCCCACCTCTTGTCACTCAGTGCTACCACTCTGCCTTTATAATGTGTGGTTTGATTTAGATGTGGTTTGGATCTCTGAGAGTGAGCAGGAGAAATAGTTTCTGAGGGAAGAAGCCTATCAATGGATTACCTAATATCAATGGTCAGCTCTGAAAACATATGTACAAGGAACATTACACAGAGCAAGCAGGTTTTACTTATATATTTAGGAGTACATGTGTATGTTCCACTTACTTTCAGCATCTGTAGATGTCTGTACTTCTTTGTGTAGGTCTGAGGCCTTGTGGGCTTTCCCCATCCATATTAGCCTACCTGTTGCTGTTGTTCTTGTTCAGCTCCTACTGAGGCAGTCACATTGGAAAAAAATTTATGGGTGGAGCTTCAGACACTCCCAAGAGACACAAGGTCACAAAAGTCTTTCCAATGTCTGGCTTTCACAGTTGTCCCCTTAACTCTTCCACAATGCTTCCTGAGTCTCACATGCAGGAATTATGTTGTAGACAGATGCATCAGTTGGAGCTGGCAATTCTTCACTTTGATTAGCTGTGGTTTTCTGTAACAGTCTCTGTTGTAAAGGGAAGTTTCCTTGATAAGGGGAGAGGATGGTACTTATCTGTGGGCATAAGAACAAATATTAGGAATGTGATTAGGGGTCATACTAGTTTAGTAAAATGGTGGGTATGGTTTCTCTTCTTTGATTCATGACTTCAGTAGTTCTGGAAAGTTGGCTCGGCTTCCAGGACCAGTCATGATTTCCTCCCTTGAAGCCTCTATGCAGCTGTTTGGTACCATGAGAGCTAGTCCTCATGGAGGAGGCTGTAGGTCAGTTCCAGTTCAAGCCATGTGTCTGAAGTGCATGGGGTCTTCAGCAATAGGGACTCACCTTCTACCTCGGGGGACAAGGACAATAGCAATAGCTTGTAGTTTTGGGGAAATTTCTTGGACAATCTTGACCAACAACAAATCTAAGGAGGCTTTCTGATGTGTATGGTTACATGGACTTTGGCTTTTGAAGGAAGCATTTGTAGTGATGGGGCAAGCAGGCCTGCTTCCCACTGCCTGGCTCCTGGCTAGCTTTACCCAAAATAATTACACAGAATTATTTAAATAATAACAGTATTTATTTTAACACTGTCTGGCCCATTGGTTTCAGCCTCTTATTGGTTAATTCTCACATCTTGCTTTAACCCATATTTAGTAATTTGTGTAGCACCACAAGATGGTGGTTTACTTGGAAGATTCTAACCTGCGTCCATCTCGGAGAGGAGAGCTATGGCGTCTGACTCATGGCGACTGGCTCACTTCCCTTCTTCCCAGCATTCTGTTCTGTCTACTCCACCCACCTAATTTTCTGCCCTATCAAAAGGCAAAGGCAGTTTCTTTATTAACCAATGAAAATAACACATAGACAGAAGGCCCACCTACATCAAACATTGTCAGCCCAGATCAGAACATTTCTTTTAAACTATGTATGTATATTTATATATGCACTTATGTGTAATACAGGTGTTTTTAGGTAGATAATAATATGATTCCTTATAATTTTTCAGACATTCTTACTGTTATTTACCCCTGTCCCTTCTTCTTTTTGCAATTTCTCCCTCTCTCTTTTTAATTCGACCCCCCTGTTTCTATTTCCCCAATCAGATCACTTGTGCCTTGTTTTCCCTTTCTATTACTCTTCCTGCCCCACCCCTGCTCCCAGCAATAGTCTCTTTTATTTTTCTGGTTTCTGTGATTCCTTCAGGATTTGTACTCACATCTGAGGATTTGGAGGTGGGAGCCTCGGATGAGAAAGCACACACAGCATTTGTCTTCTCTGTGTGGATTGTCTAGCTTGGTATATTCTTTTGGAGTTCCATCTATTTACCTGCATATTTTATGTTTTCATTATTTTCTTTACAGCTGACTAGTATTCCAAAGTGCATATTTAACACATTTTCATTACCTATTCATCAGCTGATAGGGGTTTATTTTTTCCCATTTATCTATTGTGAAAAGAGGGGCAATGAAAATGGCTGAGCATGTCTCTGTAGAGTAGGATGTTGAGTGCTTTGGGCATATGCCAAGGTGTGGAGTATCTGGGACACAGGATGATTTATTTTCAGCTTTTAGAGGATTCTCCACACTGATTTCCAGAGTGGCTGCTCTCAACGAAACCCCACCAACAATGAATAAGGGTGGCTCTTTCTCCAAATCTATGCCAGCTCTTGTTGGTTCTTTTGTTGATCTTTGCCACTCTTACAGGTAAGATGAAATACCAAAATTATTTTAATAGATAGGAATGATAAACATTTTCTGAGCTATCCCTTAGTTTTTTCTTCTTCTTTTGAGAACTCTCTGTTCAGGTTTCTGGCCCACTTTTGGAATAGATTTGTTTCTTTTATCATTTTTTTGTGTATATTCCTGTGTGTGTATATATATGTGGTATGTGTGTGTGTGCTCTTCATATATTCTGGATATTTGTTAGATGATTTTTTTTCCTTAGTTGTATGGAAACTTTAATGTCATGAATTCCTTTGTTTATTGTTGGCCTTAATTCTTGGGCAGACTGTGCTCTGTTCAGGAAGCCCTTTCCTACACCTGTATCATGTAGGATGCTGCCTATCTTTTCTTCTAGCAGGTTTGGTGTTTCAGGTTTCAGCTTTCACAGTAAGTCTTTGATTCATTTGTAGTTTGATTTTTCTCCAGGTGATAGATACAAGTCTAATTCCATTCTTCTGCATGTGGACTTCCAGTTTTCCTGGCACCATTTGTTGAAAATGTTTTCTTTATCTAGCTTTTGGGTTATTTGTTAAATATTAAATAGCAGGATTTATATGTACTCATATTTTAATTTTTGATTTTGTTCTATTCGTCTACATATCTGTTTTTGTACCAGTACCATATTGTTTCTATTACCATGGCTCTGTAACATAGGGCCTGAGATCTGGAATGGTAATTGCTCTACCATTCTTCTTTTGTTCAAGATTGTTTTGGCCATCCAGGGTCTTTTTGGTTCCATATGAAGTTTAGAATATTTTTTTTCTATTTCTGTGAAGAACAAAATGGGGATTTTGATTGAGATTGTACAGAATCTGTAAATAACTTCTGGTAAGTGTTCATTTTTACATTATTATTTCCATAAGTCTATGAATATGGGGTGTGTTTTCATTGTCTTTCTGTCTCTTTCTTCAGAGGTTTGAAATATTCATTGTAGAGATCCTTCACTTCCTTGGTTGGGTTTATTCCTAAATATTTTAATTTTTTGAGGCTATTCTGAATGGGAGTGTTTCCATGACCACCTCTTTTTCTGAATGTTTATTGTTTATATATATATTACACTATTGATTAGTGAAAGTCCTGCCACATTGTTGAATTTGTTTATCATTTCTGGAAGTTATCTGGTAGAATATTTGGAATTTCTATAGTATAATTTGTACTTTAGGAATAGGGATAGTTTGATTTCTTTCCCTATTTTTAGCCTCTCAGTTTTCTTCTCTTGCCTTATTGCTCCACCTAGTGTTTTAAGCAAAATATTGAGAAGGAGTGGGGCTAGTGTACATCTTTGTCTTGTTTCTAGCTTCATTGTGACTGCTTCAAGCTTTTCCCCATTTAGGATAATGTGTAGCTTTTATTATATTGAGATATGTTCCTCTAGCCTTACATTCTCTAGAACTTTTATCATGAAGATGTGCTGAATTTTGTCAAGGCTTTTTATGCTTTTATTGAGATAGTTATGTGATTTTTTTCTTTACGTTCACTTAATTGGTCTACCACAGTTATCCAGGGATAAATTTCAGGGATAATGCCAACTTGGTCATAGTGGATAAACACAAAACATGTAGGAAATCTTGGACACCATGAAAAGACCAAACTTGAGAATAATAGGGAAAGAAGAAGGAGAAGAATACCAGTTGAAGGACACAGAAAATATATTCAGCAAAATCATAGAAGGAAACTATCCCAACCTCAAGAAGGACATGCCAATGAAGATAAAAGAAGCTTACAGGATACCAAATAGACAAAATAGTCCCCTCACCACATAGTAAACAAAACACTAAACATGCAGACTAAAGGAAGAATATTAAGAGCTACAAAGGAAAAAGGACAAGTAGCATATAAAGGCAGACCTAGCAGAATAACACCCGACTTCTCAATGGAGACAACGAAGCCAGAAGGTCTTGGACAGATGTTTCACAGACACTAAGAGACCATAGATGACAGCCTAGACTACTATACACAGCAAAATCTTTCAATCACCATAGACAGAAAAAAACAAGATATTCCATAACAAAACCAGATTTAAATGATACTTATTCACAAATCCAGCCTTAAAGAAAGTACTAGAAGGTAAACGCCAACCCAAGAAAGTTTGCTGCACCCACAAAAACCCGGGCAATGGATAATCCCACACTAGGAAATTCCAAAGAAAGAACACACACACACACACACAGTAGCACCACCAACAGCAAAACCAAAAAATAAGAGAAATTAGCAACCACTGGTCCTTAATATTTCTTAATATCAATGGACTTAATTTGCCTATAAAAAACAGAGGTTAACAAAATGGATACAGAAACAGGATCTGTCCTTCTGCTGTGTACAAAAGCACACCTCAGTTTCAAAAACAGACATTACCTCAGAGTAAAGTGTTGGGAAAAGATTTTCTAATCAAATGAACTTAAGAAACAAGATATCCTAATATCTAACAAAATAGGCTTCAAACAAAAATGAGTTAAAATAGATAAAGAAGGACATTTCATATTCAACATGGAAAAATCCATCGAGATAAAGTCTCAATTCTGAATACCTATGTCCCAAATTACAAGGGCACCCACATCTGTAAAAGAAACATTACTAAAGCTTAAATCACACATCAAACTCCACACACTATTAATAGAAGACTTCAACATCCCACTTTCTCTAATGGACAGGTCTGCCAGACAGAAAATTAACAGAGAAACAAGAGAACTAACAGATGGTATGACTCAAATGGACTTAACAGAAATCTATAGAACATTTCACCCAAACACAAAAGAATATTCATTCCTCTCAACACCTCATGGAACCATCTCTAAAACTGACCACGTACTTAGTCACAAGGCAAATCTCAATAGACACAAAAAGTTGAAGTGACCCCATGTATCTTATCGGATCACCATGGCTTCAAGTTAGAATAGAACAGCAACACTAACTGTAGAAAGCCTACAAACTCTTAGAAACTGAACAATGCTCAACTAAATCACCAATTGGTCAAGGAAGAAATAAAGAAAGAAATGAAAGACTTCATAGAATTCAATGAAAATGAATGCACAG